TCCTCTCTCATGCTGTTGACTATCTAATAAATGCAAACTCTGAGCGTCCCGTCCCGGCTCTAAATCAATAAACGCACAGTTTAAAGAGTGTCTACAAAACATGGGCGAGTATGGAAACAATAACAGCAACATCTGCAGCCTTTAATGCAAAAGCTGGTAGCAAAAACTGCCACTGTGAAAGTAATAATGTCAGGAACAGGTATTGATTCAAGTACTTTCTGAACTAATTCTTTGGTCCACAAAATGTCAAAAAACAATCCTCACATTTGAGAAGCTTGGAACTAGCTATAGGAACTTTTTGGCTAGCTAATGATTATTTTTCTGTTGATCATCTATGGTTTCAGCTCTATTCAAGCAAATTTTTTTACCACAGTATTAGTGCTGTTGTTGAACCGGATTGCACTATAATTCAACACTTGTGGGGGCGGACAAAATAATATAAACACTTTCTAATACAATACAACTAAACAAGAAAATACAGAGTTGAATCAACAGCTCTCTGACATGGTGCCAACAAAAACTAAAAAAGATAAGCATCATAAAAGGTAGTGTTCATTGCAGGGCTGTTGAACTGGATTGGAAGACGTGCTGTGTACACACTCTAGACATATTGTATTGCTCTGCTGCCTTTTGGCAAGTAAAAAGGTGTGTGAATAGGGCGAGTCTACAGGACCACAACCCTATCTTTACAATACCAGTTTGATTCAAAGCCTCACCACACTGCACATAAAAACTGTGGACCCCTGGGAGAAAGTTTCAAAAAAAGCTTCTTGATCATGCCGAAAACGTTACGGATGTCATTAGAATGAATTCTTATCAGGAAATCTTGAATGAGAGAAAAACTTCCTCCACAGATTTGCCACAGCTGTATAATATAATCCGTCTCCACTTTGAGAAACAATAGACTGCCCTGGTTGTTATATAAGGTACATCCGTGCTTTGTGTTCAGAGAGGACAAGTAACCACTCAAATGAGCTGTACTCCACTGTTAGGGAATCAACAGCAGGATTTCAGGACAAGTGAACGCTGCAATTTCATCTTTCATCAAGTTTTATAGTGTTTGTCTCGCTCTTCTCTTGAGATGTTGCATAACAGAGGCGGCACTGACTGCTAATAGAGAGAGCCGGTGCTGGGAACGATATATGCGTGCGTTAACAATTATATATGACAGGCGTATGGTTACTGTCTGATGGTCTCTTTGTACACACACTCATCTCATTCAGTGTCTCTGGCATGAGATAATAATTGCATCCGAAACACACGCAATGCACATCATGTGAACATACGGCATGCACGCTTTGGATAAAGTAGAACTTTGTATGGTGGTTCGGCGCTTTCTCATCTTCCCACACATTCATCATCTGTGAAGACTTGATCTGCTGAGAAAGGAAGCAATCAGTGCCTTTCCCTCAGACACCATGCCCCATCCTACCCTTTTTTAACGTTTTTTCTCAGATCTGCCAAAGCCCTGTGAACAATTAATAATTAACACATCGGCATATAATGGATCGGGGATTAATAATTCAGCCTGCCGATTTGGACTAAAATAGGCCGGAGGGTAAGAGGAGTCTGTTGTAGTGCAACAGGTTGGGGCTGAGATGTGGGACAGGGATAAAGGGTGGACTACCAACACATACTGTACATTAAGAGGCAGTGGCTGTGAGCTGATGGCGTTAATTTAGGAACATCAGTCAGCGTTACACATGTATAATAAGGCTGGGAATAGAGTAGCTGCTGCGCTGCCCAAGGCCGGGCCAACACAACAGTCACTGACAGCATTTGTTCTAACATTTAAAATTTATAAGTGTGTAGTTGTTTTATGATTATAACTGAGCTGAATTGGAATAACGCATCTGTGACAAAATAAAAAAAGACTAATAAAAGACTAAAAACCCCAGTCACCTCTCACATGAATTCACCAAGTTTTAATTATATATTATTTACAATGTAATTAGCATCTTAAAAGCGCTGCAAGTAATGTGTGACATAACCAAGGTACTAACTGGTGCTTGAGCTATGACGGATGTCTGGGTCTACGACATTTTAATTAAGGCCACCATAAGAGCAGGACACATTATGACTAATTTTCTTCACTTCAAGCCCAGAGAACATAATTTGTTAACTCGGTACGTCAGTGGAGTGGCAAATACCAGTGTGCTTGACTGTTAGAACAGCAGGGATAGAGATCAGTGAAAACAGAGGGGAACCAATATGAGAGGACATGGCTGTGACTAATAAATGACTCAAGTGGGATCTCAAATGAGTCCAGTGTATTGGCAGATAACACCATCCCTCACTCTCTCTGTTTCAAACAATGCCATGATATTTGCAGGTCATGCTGCTCTGCTCTTTCAGGCAAGGCTGCATGCTCTGAGTGTTTTCGGGTTTCCAGGGAAACTGGAGGCCACCTGTGTGCTCGGCTGAACTTTGCCGCCTAATAAGAGCAGGTCAAACACCTCTCTGGTTTTGTCAGTGAGTTACCATGGATTCTCCTCAGCAGGAGTAACAGTATCTATAGCATTACTGCTGCAATTTAAAACTCTGCCAGTATGGGGGATGTCTGGCAAGTGACAACATGACTGTCCTATTCTAAAAGACACTTAGAGGAGGAGATCTGTACAGGTACAATTACACTGAAATATACATAGATGACGCTCACCAGCATTTGCTTAATCCTGCCATTGACTATGATTGGTAATATTGTATATGATTATTATTATTTCTTGTCTTTCAGAATCGCATTGTGGTGAAACAATGATACAGCTGTTGTGAAGCACAAAGCTTTGATTAATGACAGAGAGCAAATACTCATTAAAACCAGTCATGGATAAAATCTAAAACAAATGGACTTGTACTGTATTTCACTTTCACTAGTCGCTGTCCAAGGCAACTGACACCAGTTTGATTAGTTTAAGATTATTTTCATTATTGATTTACTGATTCATGTTTTTTATATATATATATATATATATATATATATATATATATATATATATATATATATATATATATATATATATATATATATATATATATATATATAAATAAAAAAAAAATAAATAAATAAATAAAACAGCCATTGCGATTCCCCAAATCTGTTTGTTTGGGCAGACGGTCTAAATCCCAAAGATCTTCTATGGAAGGAGTAAAAAGGTTAGGAAACCACTTGTTCAGCCTATAAAATGTCAGAAAACAGTGCAGAAAAAGCCCATAACAATTTTCAAAAGACCAAAGACACGCCTTTAAATGATCTAATCAACAGTCTGAAACCAAAAAAGATATGAAAAGTACAATGATATAAAAACAGAGAAAAGCAGCCAATCCTCACAATTTAGAAGCTGAAACTAGTAAATGTTTGGCAATTAAAAAAAATCACTTTAACAATAAATCAGTAATCAAAAAAACTTGCTAATTAATTATTGTCAATCTACAAATAGATTAGTCAACCTGTCATTACAATTCTAGGTTATTTAGCCTGTATCTATAGGATGGTATAATTAAATATACAGTACACATTGAATAAAGTCCTAGAGTTGTTCTGTGAGAGGGATCTTGGCCTCAGCACAACGGTTGTCAGCTATTGCTATCAACAACAAAGACACAAAGGAAGCCTCTGCAACAAAAACAGAGTAGGCCCGAAAAACGCCCAGTCATTTCACCAGTGATACAGCTAATGCAAGGAGAGAGGCAACTCCAAGTCTTGATCCACGGCCGTAATTCATTTGACATGTCTGTTGAGGCTGAGCATGATAATGTGTGCTGCTACCTGCCAGAGCCCTGGTTGCACAGTGAAGCTATTCATCCACACTCGAAGGCTTCTGGAAAGAAGCTTTTACAATGTAAACCATGTGTTAGAAAACATATCAGTGTTTGCGAAACACGTCTCCCCCCTTTTCAGTCTCGGTCTGGACATGCACTGGATTACACTGAAACTACAAGGAGACTTATTAGGTGTTTAAACCAGCAGGGATAAAAAACCTTTTCTTTATCTGCTGTTTTCTTCTTCCCACATTTCCGCAACCTCTTGTGAGATGGTAAATCATGTAGACTTTGTACACTCACCATAAATGTGAAAGATAAGGTTCTTGTAAAATATTGTCTCAGATGTCCACATGACTATGCATATTCACTGTACTGTGCTGTACAGTGTGTTTTATTTTATCCAACTTCAAAAACATGGACAATACATATGATGGCGCAATACATACTCCAACCGAAACATATCCAAATTGTCCATTTAAAATAATAATTTATGATATTGAGCTATGATGCAATCCCCTACAAAAGTCTAAAATTTCAATTTAGAAGATACTGGTGCAAGTGGGCGAGCCTTCTGACAAGTCTGATAATTTTCAACTATTGTTTCATATGACACCAAATAAAGTTAGCTATTCTGTATTGTTTTTACATCCGTAACTGATAAACCTGATTAGTAATCTTTATAGTTCACATTAAGGCTTCTGTGTGTGGGGGGAACCCAAACTGGTAAACTGTGTGGCACTTTCCTTATTTTATGTTGCCATATGCATGGTAGTATCTAAATTCAAAAGCCTAACAAAACGGCCAGCTAATGAACTGCCAATGCCTATCACATTAAGTCAATAACTCATCAATCAGTTTCATTACTATACGAATCACACATTACATCCTGTTAGCTATAATAAATTGAAGCCATTTTTGTTCCCAGTTGCTGCTAGCTTCATGATCAAAAGGAGATTAACCGTTACATCCGCTAACTATTAAAAACAGCCTGTCAAAGAAAAGACAAGTGGCCCACAGCAAACAAAAACTAAGTCTTATTAAGTTCAGTTGTGTCTTCACCATGAAAAAGGGGCTGTACCTTCACAACAGTGAAAACTTTAACGGCCTAATAACTCGGGAGTGATTTGACCAAAGGCCTCTGATAACAGACGCGACCGCTGATTTGTTTGTTGATGAGAGGTTTCATTAAAAACGGCTCGACCGTTAAGATCGCCGGTGTGTCAGTGACTTGAACTCACCTTCCTCCCACCCTCAGTGGGACACGGGAGCGGTCAGCAGACGAGATGTCAAGTTAATCTGAACAGAATCTCTCACGTCTTCATCCTGGCAGCGCAGGGGGAAGTCGTTTCACAGCATGTTTTTGTTTGTTCGCTTGTTTTGTTGGATCTCCGCCGTAAAACAACAAAACACAATTGTCCGCCCCTCGCAGCTCCCTTCTGTCTCTGCAACCGCGTATCAGGCACAGATGTGTAAATTATTGAAAGTGTTTTCTTCTCCTGGCTGCTGTGAGATCGGTTACAAGAGTTAGTTGTAACTCGATTCCTCCTCCTCCCTCGTAAAAAAGAAAAAGTTTCAAACTTGAGGGGGACCTGGAAATCAGCAGATTGATGTTGGCTTGGGCCAATGAAGGAGCAACAGGGTGAGTGGACCAACCCAATCAAACCAAAAGAAAGGACCATTTACAACCAGCACATTCCCTGCCCCCATTAGGGTTTCCAGTAATTATCCTTGTTCAGTTCCCAGTCCCAAGGCCGAAAATTTCCCAGAGGAAACGGTGTTAAGGGAACAATGAACAGGAACTGTGGGGAGAAGTTTTTCTGTCATGGACTGGATGATATACTGGCTTGTTAAGTTAACGTTACACATGCATAAAAAATACTCTTTGTTTTCATTTGGAGTTGCATCAGGTTATTCTTACAAAATTTTACATTTCACAGTTTCATAACACTTAATTATTTATGTAAAGAAAGAGAGAGAGAGACAGACAGAAAGAGAGAGATTTTGTCAGCGGATGTTTTTAGGATACAGGAAGTTTTCCCTCATCCGTGTAATGAGGAGACAGGAACTCCCGAGGTCAAAATAGCCTTCTTGCATTGTTATTTTAACACTGAGGTAATTTTTTTTATAGTATTGGTGTTAAACACTATGAGTTTTAGCCCTACACTGCCAAACATCTCAGGCCATACCTCAGTGTTATTTACGCAATTGTGACATTACCACATAAAATAACCTATAACTATATCTTGTATTGTAAGTCTAAGTAGTTTAAGTAGTGTGCTGCAGCAAGCCCAATAATAAAGAGAAGAGTGATGTAAGGTATGACACCTGCAGGAGTGAAATTGACCTAGCGCGCCCTCTAGTGGTATAATGTGATTAGTAGTGATTATTGCACTGGGTACTCATTTCATTTGAAATGTGCAAAAGATAAGTATGTCAAAACCAGCCTGCATTCATCAAAAAGATAACAACAGATACTGAAATAGCCTTTCTAGTATTTTCAAACACAGACAGAATATAATCATTCTGATGTATGATCACATGAATATTGTTTTTACAAGATCTTCTTTCTTGTAATATGCCATTTGAATGGATGGTAGTATTATTTTTAAGGCTGCAACAAACAAGTATTTTCATTATCGATTAATCTACCAATTATGGTCTCTATTAATCGATATCGTGAAAAATGCTTCTTACAATTTCCCAGTGCCAAGCTGATGTTTTTAGGTCAGGTTTTAAGTTTGCAAGCACAGGCCGAAATGAACACTGCTGTACATTTATAGTTGGTATTCAAGCAAATTAATTCACACATAGTCGTGTACCTACGTGAGGATATGGCTATTTTTAGGGAAGAACAATACTTTTTAGTATATTTGAACTATCTTTATAATTAACTTACCCCTGATGCTCTATAACAGCCGCCTGCGTTTTTGTTGTTGGACTCAATCTCCCACAATCCTAGGGGAAAAGAAGGAAAGTGACGTAGTTTTGCTACGTGTCAGGAAGCTCTGTAGTCAACATGGCGGCGCAGCAGGGAGATGTGGATGAACTCTTCGATGTGAAAAATGCTTATTATATCGGCAGTTATCAGCAGTGTATTAACGAGGCTCAAAAGGTGAAGGTAGGTATCGAATTGTTATCAGCTGAATCTTTGGAAGTATACTGTTTCGTCTTTATCTCTCTGCTTCATCGCAACTAATGGTGTTTTCTGGCAACAGTGCTAAAATGAATATTTCTAACTTCTACCTGTGTTTTTTCTTTAAAGCCGTCAACACCCGAGAAGGAGACTGAAAGGGACATGTTTCTGTACAGAGCATACATAGCCCAGGTAAACCAATTTTCTCAAGTAGGAATGTCACTGTGCTTAGTTTCTTGTCATTAAGTTAGCTGCTAGCTAACTAGCTAACTGGCTATTCATTGCTGTCACAGGTTTTTGGCCGATTAAAAGCCAGCCTCCCTGACCTGTTGTGTTTTGTACTATTATTGCAGAGGAAGTATGCTGTTGTCCTGGATGATATCAAGGCCAACTCTCCACCCGAGCTTCAGGCTGTCAGGATGTTTGCTGAGTATAAATCCAATGAAAGCAAAAGGTAAGCGCTTGTATTTGACGGTCAACATGGGATAGGAATGGGGCTGAACGATAAATTCATTAAAATTTTTAGCCAAGGAGTCTTTCGATCAGTATCAAAATTAGACTAAACAGTAAGCAGCAAATATTACAGTCAGATATGCAATCACACCTGAGTTTACCACTTAAACAATTATACTGGGTATCCACCAGAAACCTAGTTCTCAACACAAGACTGATGAAAACCATGCTTTTGATAATGTTATATATTACCACAGTAGTTGCTTCTTCCCAGGGTTTTCTGTTCTTAGCATACTGCACACCTTGATAGAATAATACAGTTAATGTCTATGTGGGCGTTTGATCATCAAGTACTAAAGAAGAAGATGAGGCTGGAAGTTTGTCTTATAACATTGATCTATCTCCATGTTACAGATTGTTTAAATGTATTAATTTTATTTTATTACTAACCAGCCTCATCTTCTTCTTTAGTACTTGATTGTGATTCAAGGATTCTCTTGAGTTAAAATTCCTCTCATTGTCTTAACAATTTTCCTGCTGCTATTTTTCCCCCTGCAGAGATGCTATTGTTGCTGATCTAGACAAGAAGATGGCAAAGAGTGTGGATGCTACCAACACCACTTTCCTCCTCATGGCTGCCTCCATCTACTACCATGAGATGAACACGGATGCTGCTCTCAGGACCCTGCACCAAGGAGAAAGCCTGGAGTGGTAAGAAGGCATGAAGATTTCACTTTAAAAAATGTCTCAGCAAGATTTTGTTCACCATATAAACTGATTTCAAATAAATATGTCAGCAAAGAAAACATAATCTGTTACTTTTTGCAAACTATAAATTACTTCCATTGGAACTACTAAAAAAATGGAGGTTTCATCCTTGTTCCTGTCATTTCAATGTTAACAACCACCCACTTAATGTAAATTTAAGAATTACTAAAATGATCAATTTAGACATCATCTCAAATAGACATTCTGCCAAAACATATTTACATTTCCAAAAAGCATTGTATGGAACCAGTTTTTGTGTTTTACCACATTTCTGTATACCAAAATAATTATCACAATAATATAAAAATCAGCATTACACACTTTAGCTTTAATGTTTTTTATTTAAAAAAAACAACTTATGGTTTAATAGACGCTCCTGATGCATAGATGATTACTGACTCTGACTACCGATTACTCATACCCGAGTACTGAAAGAGAAATATGGATTTTTCTCAAAACGATAACTTACGTCTTGATCTCACCGTGCTGTCAAATATAAGGCTAATATGTTGGCATGTGTGTAAGCGAAAGATGAGCTAAATTTACATTCCAGAATCATTAAAAAAATCTTTAGTTTGGCAGAAACATTAAATAAAAATACAAAACACAAAGTAAGGGGGTTGTTAAGTCCCGGCTACCACGTCTTCTCCACAAACCTCTCTCTGATGGGTCACTGGTCAGTTTCAGACTGTTGTCTTCAAAGTGAAGGCAACCATATGAAATCAAACTGACCTGAAAATTTGTTTATTTTGCAGCATGGCAATGACCATTCAGGTGTTGCTGAGTCTGGATCGTGTTGACCTGGCGAGGTAGGGTAAAACGCAAACAGTGGATGATGTTTACATTGAATTGTTATGTAAGCTTTCTTATTCAAAGGCTCATGTAAAACACCCAGGTATGTTTTGAATGTGTTGTGTAAATACTGTCCATATTCTTCATTGTAAACTCTCTTAAAAGCTACAGTATACACAGTGTTCCTCTAATACCATTAACATTATTTTCTTGTCATTGACAGGAAAGAGCTGAAGAAGATGCAGGAGCAGGATGAGGATGCTACTCTAACCCAGCTGGCCACAGCTTGGGTTAATATTGCTGTGGTGAGGATTCAGTTACGTTTGCGTAACATAACCAAGATACACGTAGTTGATTTATAATTAAATGCTCTATCATGAATAATTTGTAAACCCTCCGTACATATTGGAGTGAATGGTATGTGTTTGCACATATACCAAGTGAATTAAAATCCTGTTCATCACGTTATCCTCACCTAAGTTGTATTGTGATTGACTGACGCTCCAATCAGGTTTGAAATAATTAGCCGACAGGGTGATTTGTAGAAATTCTTGGTGCTGACCTTGAAGCTACCCCAAGCCAACCTTTAAGGAACTGTGACACCAATTATAAGTAAACAAAACAATCAAACAAGTAGGGTTGTGCACTTTTATTATTAGCTTTTTGGTATTGTCACTGATCAACACTCCACCCCACATTTATTTGCATTCTGCTTGTTGCTCCAGGGTGGCGAGAAGCTGCAGGATGCCTACTACATTTTCCAGGAGATGTCTGACAAGTACTCCTCTACACTGCTGCTCCTCAACGGGCAGGCGGCCTGTTACATGGCACAGAACAAGTGGGAGGAGGCTGAGGGAGTGCTACAGGAGGCACTTGACAAGGTTAGATGACAATTGGCTCTTCATCACACATTAACTGACAACCTTAATGCATTTTGGTGTAAGCACAATTAAAACAAGCAAATCTAATAATAATAACTTTATTTTTATAGCAATTTTCCAGGGTACCCGCGGGGTCTTAAAAGTATTTTAAAGTCTTAAATTTCATTACCAAAGTATTAAATTGCGTTTACCAAGGTCTTAAATTTTTTCTTGTCCTTTTGTAGGATTTAATTAATACCGTAACGTCATAAATTAATACTTTGTGTGTGTGAGACTTCATAATATACTCCGTTTGGTGTGACACTGATGTTACAGGCAGTACAGGTAACGTTACTGTTTACGTTAGTGTTCAGCTTTACGCTCTGAACTGTGAAGTGTTCGCGGTGCACGAGCTCTGGCATCCAGCTCTGTGCGAATCAGTCATTTGTTAGAAAAGAAAAGAAAACGTCTCTGACGTGCTACTAACGTTAGCTCGACGACTCAGAATGGACAAATGTGTGAAATTCAAAAAGCCAGAGATATGTACAAGTTGGCGGACGAGGCTGAGGGCAGTGGTGCTGCGGTTAGCACAACAAGCTGATCGGCGTGCGAGCCAGTCACACTGTGGCGAGCACTAATGGAACAGCAGAGCTGGAAGACCCGCTGAATCTTACAACAGTAACGGAGAGACAGGTGTGTAGACGAGGACCGTGTCGGCATTGCGCCGCTGTTGTAGGCTAACGTTGTGTGAATGGAAACATCAAACTAACGCACACACATTAAACTTACATCACCCAGATGCGCCGATCACTTGAACGAGGGAAAAAACAAACCGGAGCCCAACTTCTTATCGCCGCTGCTTTCAAGCCAATACTACATTTATTCATTTACCTGACGCAACTTACAATTGCTGTACATGTCGCACGGCTCTGGAGGGATGGGAATTGAACCCAGTCTCCCACACCAAAGGCAAGCATCTTGTCTATGCGCCATCACCGCCCCATTACTATATAATACTATATGTCAAGCAGCCTTTAGATGCTTTAGAAAAACAGAAATTGGCATATTATATTACTTTACCTTATCTAGCCAAGGTGTTACTAATTGCAACAACTCATACCACACAATTTGTTTGTATTTTTGATTTCACCCCTTAAGAGTTCTTAGTGCACAAATATTGTATTCATTACATAGTTGTCATTTACGCTGGGGATACTGGGGACATGTCTCCATCACTTTTTTAAAAGCATTTGTTAAATATGTTGTGAAAAATGGCTTGCAACAAGAAATGTTAAAATAAACTAATGAAAATACTTTGAGAACGGTTTATTTGTGCAATAAGAAAACATGCAATTTAAAGATAAAAGAAAAAAATATGCATTGTTAAAAATCTGAATCACTTTATTTAAATAAAGACAATTCTACTATAAACTGGTGCAGAAAATGTCTCCAGAATGCAGGAAATTAAGTGTTTAGTGCTCAAAAATTTCTAGGGGACCCCCAGACTCCCATTTAAATATATTTCAGCATTGAACATTTCATCAAATAGTGTTAAAATATCTTCTTGTATTCAATATTGTGAATTGTGCATGTGAGCTAAGTGTATTGTCACACCCCTAATCTGAACCCTTATCTTCCCACCAATTTTCAACACAATGTGATGTCCTTGATTCATTTTATCTTATCAAAGTACAAACACACCCCAAGCTATAGTGTGTTAAATTTGAATGTATTACAGTAAAATGTTTTGTATGTAACTTCGTAAAATAATTTTCTCAGACTTAAAATTAATACAGATTTTTCATTAAACGGCAGTGAAGTTGGTATCAAATTTCATCCTAGGTGGTATTAAAAAGTCTTAAATTTAACTTTGAGAATCCTGGGGATACCCCGTTTTCAATACAGGTAACAAAGTGCCTTACAACAATCAATGTAAAACATAAACAAGTCGATATACAAATAAGTTACGCATCACATAGTGGTTTACAATCAATTAGTCAATATACAAATAAAGCAAAAATAAATTACGCATCACACAGTGGTTTACAGTTAATAAATTAAACAAACAAGTCATTATACAAATAACCCTTTGCACTGACAACCAAAGAAAACTTGATGAAACAAATGACCCTTAGAATCAAAATCAGCTTTTTTAGCCAGGTATGTGTACAGATATAAGGAATATGACATTTTTCATGGCTCCCAACTTACTGAAATAGAAATACACATACATACAGCTAAAAACAAGGGACAAGGAAAAGAAAGCCATCACTTTGTCAGAAAACAATTATTTATTTCTAATAGCATTAAGACTTGCACTCTGATATCTCAAGTCTCAGAAATAAGGCCAAATGTTTTCTGTTCTGCGGATGCTTCCCTCAACAAAAACTACTCGCATTGTAACAGCAGATGGCACCACACACTCTTTTGTAGGCTATAGCCTGTACTAAACAACCTGCCCATTGAACCGTGTTTATCCACAAGACACAACAAGAATAAAATAGTGTCGCTTTGTCTTTTTAAAAAAAATTCATACTATATAAATGTTAAATATTTGCTGTTTTGTCTTATCTTTGTGAATATTGCACCTCCCTGTTCAATTGTATTGTGAATGGATGTGACCCGTGCTTGACTAACTCAGGTCTGTTTTGCTTTTTAAAGTTGTACAATCACACAGTCAGACCCGAGTTAACCAGACACTGAGATGGCTGAAATCAACTGTTTAGGTTAAAGAAGTGAAGCTTTTCACAGATGTCTGGCTTTTCTGAGCTTATTTTTGGGAATACCCCACTGCTGCTTCTTGAGTCAGGCCATTCACTGACGACAGATGGACAACACAAAGTCTACTGGTTAAATTATTACAAAGTGATTTTTGTCCATGGATGTTATCTTACTAACAGACATAACGTAACAAAAGTATAATGTGACTTTAGATGTCACTGCTCATGTTCGTCCTAGCAAAATCAGACAAAAGTTTTAATGGAAATAAGTAGAATAAATAAGAGAAACCGAAGTTACAGTGTTTTACATATACATGAAGAAATGAAACAAGCTGAATAGAGTGTACTTTTATCTTTCACTGCCGTGTATCCACATCTGTGTATGTTTTCCTAGCCAGTTTGCTTTGTGAGGACGACTCTCACTGTCTATTCATATCATGTCTTTCTTCCCCCTTCAGGACAGCAGTCACCCTGAGACGTTGATCAACCTCATCGTGCTGACCCAGCACCTGGGCAAAGCTCCTGAGGTGAGACTTTGGACCCAAAGCTGTTACTGAAGGCAACACTTGAGCATCCGTCAGTTTCCTTTAGACAAACTCATCCTCAGTGAAAGACGACTTATAAAATCTCTGTCCAATAACACTCTGCACTTCGAGTGCATGATCCTCCACTCAGTAATTTTAATGTGTTGATGAAACCTGGCAAAAGCATTCAACTAGGCAATTTCTTGATTGTGTTTGTCTTCTATCATAAAAAGTGTCATCTAAGCACTTCCACAGGTTTAGTGCTGTGTATGAATTTTACAGCCTGGAAGACAAAGTTCATAAGATAAACACTCAATTATCTGTCTTAAGTTTCATGGATTTGATAGTAATGCAGTAGAATGCTGACCATTGACTCAAAGCCATCAGTTTGCGACTGTGATAACAGTTGATTAGCACATCACGCGCAAGGTTAACTGGAATTGTGTGGGCATATTTAGGCAATGAGCCTAATCCTCAGGTAAAGTAGCAACTTTTCAATGGACTTTTTTTGTTTTAAGCTAAGCATTGTAACAGTGTGAGTCCTATCAGACTATAAAAGTCATTAAAATGTTGTTAATTATTTTATCTTCTGTGCACTGAATGGAATAGCATTTGTTTCTCTCTTCTTTCACTCTAATTATTACTCAATTACACTATTACTTATGTCTCTTTAATAATTTTAACTTGTGTTACAGGTAACCAACCGGTACCTCTCTCAGCTGAAAGATGCACACAGATCCCACCCATACCTTAAAGATTATTTAGCCAAGGTAACCTTCTTGTGTTTGCATTTGTTTTTTAATGTATGTCTCTGTCCTGTGGCCATTGCTGTTTAGGTTCACACAATCCACTTTCACTTGTTAACAAACCTTCATAAACCTTAATCAGTGTTATAATTTGATTACCTGGCTCGGTTGTTTTGACATTTGGGCAGCAGGTGTCCTTGGAGCAGAGTCAACAAGAGCATTGAACTCTGAATCTCTAGCCTTTGTCACACATCACGCTGGAGTGCAGATGTACATAAACATGCCACAACAGTTTGCCAGTTTCCGTGGGCAGATATTTGTCCTGGTGTTTAACTGTTTTCTCTGCTCTTTGTTTTCCTGCAGGAGAATGAGTTTGACAGACTAGTGATGCAGTACGCTCCCACCGCCACAGCATAAGACATCTGCTTTCACTGTAACACCTCAATTATGAACCATAAATTCTCTATACTCTGTCTTTCTAACCTGCATACCTGCATTTGTTTATTTTAACTTGTAAGAAAAAGTGTGTTTAATTGAAGCTTTGGCTGTGTTATTTGAACCAGATCAGATTCTGTCAGCCTTTAGTATCCATTCTTTATAAATCTGCATTTCTCCTATGGAAACAACACATAAGTTTAATGTAAACATTCCTCTGAAATGATAATAAATGTTTAATACCTGTGTTGTGTTTGTTTGGTTTGGAGATAACTAGGGTTAAGTGTATTGCTTAGGGACACATTAGTGGATGTGTGGCAGAACCCATGTCTCCACACCAAATGCATGTGTCTTATCCACTGCTCCACCCCATAGACTCTTAATCATACCCATGCAAAGTGTTTTTTTTGGTGCTTCCTGACACATTAATTTGACGTGCAGTGTCTAATGTGGACTCTTGCACTGTCTCTTTAAGTCATACTTTTTTTTACCCTAATTCAAACAGAAGATAGCGGCCCTTATTACGTCACGCCCCCCTCGGGTTTTTCCTCTCGAGATACTAAACGCGGTTGTGCTTTTAACGTACCAGTTGCTTCCCATTGAAAGCGAAGCGCCACTTGTCAAACACGCAGCTTTGAACACGTTGACCGGTCCAGAGCAGCGGCGGCGGAGAAGAAGCAGAGTGGGCAGCCTCTTCCTAGGATAATATTCATATTTATTATTTTCTCTGAGCTGGAATAGCTGCGACATCGTGTGAGATATGTGCCGGTTTGTCGGGAACCTGCTGCTGTAACGGTTCAGACGGTAACGTTATCAAAGGCGAATAACGGAAAGATGAGACTGTAACGTTACGTACGTAAACTGCTAGACGTAAGTGGCAAAATAATCGCATGTGCTGGCTGGGCTTGGCGCTGGAAAATGCGATATTAACTTTTTTGTATATGTGCGCTACATCTCGTCTTAAGTTAATTTATTCAAACAGCTAGCTCTGAAGCTCCTTTCAACGCTGGTCCGTTCAATGTTTTGTGCGCATGACTTGGGTTAGCTAGGCGGCTAACCAGGACGCGCTGATGTGCCCGTGAGCGTATAACGGAATGATGATCAGAAGAAACTGCCATCAGACAGGCGCTGATGGCCTATATTAATTCTCCAACCCTATTTAATTATTGTTTTACGTGCTTCATCAGATACAGCCTCATAGCCGTATGTGTGGTCAGACCTGGTGGTCCCTGCTATAGTTAATAAAACTATCCATATAAAAATGGGCACGTCTTAATTTGGAAAACAAAGAATTAGGCTACTGAGCAGGTCAAGCTGGTTATCTAGTTAAGCTTGGTTTTAGGGGCGCTAGCAAGCTGGTTGACGGATTAAGCCACACCGTCTGGGCTGTACTGCACCCTGCATCCCTTCTGTCTCTCAATTGGAGTATTTATTTTTTCCGGTTTGCACGTTTTTGTTGTCTGTGCACCGCACCACAATGAGCGGGGACACCGGGCCGGTGGAGGTGGAGCCCATGCCGGGATACTTGGACCTCGTCATCAGAGCCACCACGGTGATGCTGGGTGCGTGGAGAGACTGTAGTAACTGCGGCGTGGAGCTCTCCAAACGGACTCTCCTGGATAACGCATACATTACCTGCACCGAAATCGCCCTGTTCTTCTTTTGCGCCTTTTTGTGGACGCAGGTCAGGCGGGGACTGACAGAAAGTCTGTTTCAGGTGGGTGACACACAACCGCAACGCATATTGATCCCCCAGCTCCCCAAGGTTGCTTTATTTACACCCTTAATTAATTAATGCGCTTAGCAGCTCACTCATCTATTGAGAACCCGTCACTGCAGAAGTGTGGCCTCTGAGCCTCCCATCTCTCAGGAGTTGTAATTGAAGGCCATGCTCTGGACAGGGATTATAATGAAGTATGTATTTTTTAGTTAAAGATGGTCGATAATGAGCCCAGCCAATAAAGACTAAGACTAAAATCAAAGAGTTGTATCTTCAGTTTGCATCTTATTCCTTCCGGTAATGTGAATGCGAACAAATACGACTGTTTACATATACATACAAACAAAACACAATAACATCTCATTTCTGTGAATTTCTTTTACTATGGTACGTGCAGACTTCCACCATCCCCTTCCCGCTATATCTCTTTCTCTCTCACACACTTACACATGAAATATACCTAAATCAAAGGTGGGCAATGTGGATAAAACTTTTGTTTGTTTTTCTGGAAAATCAAGGAAACTGAATGACCACAATAACCTGAAAGGAATAAATGTTTTTGACAAATCCAGTAAATCAAAATTGTGTTTCTTCACATTGATGCAAAAATATTATGAATTTGCTATTATTAATTTATGCTTATGGATTTGCAGTAGTACCTATATATTTGGCAAAGGAATGGCTACCTCAGTTTTTGGACAAATTCATAGCGTCCCACTGTGTATACAGTCCCCTCCAAAAGTATTGGAACGGTAAGGCAAATTCCTGTGTTTTTGTTGTTCACTGAAGACATTTGGGTTTAAGAAAGTCAATCAATCAAAAGATGAGTATGAGACAAGAGTTCAGAATTTCAGCTTTCATTTCCTGGTATTCACATCTAGATGTGTTAAACAACTTAGGACATATCAGCGTTTGTATTAGACCACAGCATTCTTAGGTGAGCAAAAGTAAAGGAATAAATAATCTTCAAGTAAATAACATTTAATATTTGGTGGCATAACCCTTGCTTGCAATAACTGCCTCAAGCCTGCGACCCATCGACATCACCAAACTGTTGCATTCTTCATTTGTGATGCTATTCCAGGCTTTTGCCGCAGCTTCTTTAGTGCTTGTTGTTTAAGCATAAGCAGTTCCTTTCTTTCTCCACACTTTGGCCTTTCCATCGCTTTGGTAGAGATTAATCTTGGTCTCATCAGTCCATAAGATTGTGTTGCAGAACCTTCCGATTCTTACTGCTGATGAGTGGTTTGCATCTTGTGGTGTGGCCTCTATATTTCTGCTCTTTGAGTCTTCTTCTAACATTGGATTGTGATACCTTCACCCCTGCACTGTGGAGGTCGTTGGTGATGTCACTTACTGATGTTTTGAGGATTTTCTTCACAGCTCTCACGATATTTCTGTCAGCAACTACTGTTGTTTTCCTTGGCCGACCTCTCAGTACACCAGTAGTTTATTTCTTTTTCAGGACATTACAAATTGTTGTGCTTGCTATGCCTAATGTTTGTCGAATGGCTCTGGTCGATTTTCCTTAACAATGGCTTGCTTTTCTCCCATAGACAGCTCTCTGGTCTTCATGTTGGTTTATCCTTTTTAACTGGAAATGCAGTCTTTATAGGTTTGAACCAAGGATGAAAACTTAGACTAGTCCATCCATCCATCCATCCATCGTCAACCGCTTATCCTGCGTACAGGGTCGCGGGGCTTGGACTAGTCATGCAGAGCTATTTAATGTTTGGACAATCAACCTAAAAGGCAACATCTGGGCAACAAGAAACATCTGTCAGTCACATTTTCCAATAGTTTTGCTCAATTGAAAAATGGACATGTTGAAACAAAGGGTAGTATGTCCTGAGTTGTTTAACACATCTCAATGTGAGTACCATGAAATGAAAGTTGAAATTCTGAACTCTTGTCTCATACTCATCTTTTGATCTTAAACCCAAATGTCTTCAGTGAACAACAAAAACAAAGGAATTTGCATTACCTTTCCAATACTTTTGGAGGGGACTGTATATGATCATTATCGCACATTACACATTTGAACTGTTGCATCTACATTATATTTTTGGAAATGAGACCAACAGACTGCTGCCGCCATGGAGTAGAAAATCATGGCATTCTTTAGTTATTTGACGATGTGCACTCACAAAACCAGAGAAACAAACAAATCCTCTTTTCTTACTTACAGTATACTCCCAGTCATGTGTAAAGAATGAACGTTGACCCATTTAACATCTCCACTTACTCTGGTCTGCATTTTCCACTGTGCAGTTAGGTTCTAAATATGAAAACAGTCTGAGCAATACTTGAATAATTATTTGACTGTGTTGTATGCTTAGGTTGCTGTACTCAGCCAGGGGAGCACAATGAAGGCAGCCAAACCTGGTTACAATAACCTACACAAGTGTGAGACGTCAAAAGAGTCCACTGTGGACTCCTAATAGATTTGAGAAGAGTTATAATCACAGCTTGTCAATTCAGTAACAATATAAATCTATCAATGTGCAGTGTTTCCCATACGTTACATCTGAACTCAGTGTTAATGAGAACTATTAATACATAACACTTGATGTATTATTTTTAGATTTCATCTTGACTTGATCCACTGGGCTTGCAGCTGAAATGAAGTTATTCTTAACACAACAGCATTACATTTATACAGCGAGCCCTGCAGCCTCTGTGATTTAGGGAGGAGATCTTAATTAATTATACGGCTAATTTCTGAGGTGTATGCATGCTACTGTATTAATGCAAAGCCTCAGTGGATGATGATACAGGGTTAGAGAAGAGGAGATGGGGTGATTAAGATAAACAGAGAAGGAAGACAGAGCGAGAGAAGGACTGGAGAAGAAGGCTGAGAGGTGAGCAGAGCCCAAGCCTTTTCACATTTTTAGATTGAGTGTCCAAAAAATACTAGAATGAGGGTTAATAATTCATAGATGAAATGGGTAAATTTACAACATGGAAATTTCCTGAAATTAAAGTCACAAAAAATCCCATTCACGCTAGTGTTCATCTAATACACCAAATTCACAGCAAAGTCTCTAAAGTGCGGTTGATAATATTGTGATTTTGGCTAAAATCACTATTTTTGAGTTTCTCTCATAAATGTATGACTATAATGTCAGAGAATATTTAAGTTTTTAACTTGTAGATTTTTCATTATTTGTTTCTCATAAATTTAAGTTAGTTAGTTAGTCTTTTTCCCACTCCCCTGGCTCAATTTTTTATTACAATAAACACCCAATTCATATCACACATAAAGAAGAGTCCATAAAATACAAAACAGAGCCGACTTAACACCGACTTAACTAATTAAAGGAAACATTTTGTTTACAATTTTAAAATGCCAATATCAGTTGGCCAATGGAGATTATGATGTACCACAGTGGCTTTATGTAACTGTAGAGCTCAAGTGGCTTACCAACAAGTTGTGTTTAACTCAACCTGCATAGGTGCTGCTCTAATTTGTACAGTACACTTGATCATAGTAAAACCTGAAAACCACTCACGCAGTACTGTGCACAGGGATCATCCCCACCCCAAACACACTCACCTTCTCTCACCAAGTTAAGTGTTTAATTTTTTCTCAGGTAAACAGTGACAAATATCGAAATTCCAAATACAGTGTCATATTCTAAAGTGTGAATGTTGCTGTACTCCTTCCACTTTTTAGTTTCACTCTACACACACGTTTGTCACACGGGTTAAATTGGTTTGTGGTTTATGAGTTGTGCATTGCATTTATGATGCATGTGGTTGTTTGCGTTTATGGGGGGTGCAGTGTTTCCTCTAGGATTTTTTCAGCAGCGGGGCAGGACAAACATCACCCCCAAAATTTTATGTTTTCAAATGATAAATATGTAATTTCACATCATATTGGGGCATTATTTTCACCATATCTCTGAACAAATAGTTGACAAAGCTCGAGCACATAATAAATAAACAGCACCCAAAGATCAGTCTACTGGAGGAACTACAACCTTTAGATCTGGAGAAAGTAATTTGGTTGGTTCTGTTGCTCCACAGTGATTTCACATTGATGGCACAGCATGTTTTGGGCATCACCTCTAAGCCTTAACGGCAGGAAAACCCTGTTAATATGACCTCAGAATCATTATAGATACGACTGTTCATGTTTGCCTTATGTTTGCCTTTTTTTCATTTTATAGCTTCTGACATTAGTCTGTAGACATTAATATAAAAAATAGGCAACATGAGAAACCTCCTCCCTTCTGAGGTGTATTTTATTTGCACATTGAAATCCAAAAGGAAATATCTCCTCATTAGCTTAAAAGGACTAGTTTGCATCACTAATTAGCTTTACTAACTTCAGCTCCTTCAGTCACTTCCGTCCTTTCTTTTCCAAAATCACTTTTTCAGACTGAAAACTGAAAAATAATTGAATCAGTCTGTACAGGACAGAGCTGCAGGCTACGTCAGTTTAGTCTAAGTTTGTACCTGATGTTCTCAACATTGGACAAGTAGGCAGTAATAAAATACAGCTTCCAGTTACTTTCTATAAATTGAGCTAATGTTAAGTTACATAGCAGCTGTGTAGCTGCTGTAGAAGCTTTCCTGCTCAGCTGAGCAGTCTGAAGAGGAGGGGAGATGTTAGCTAACTTAGCGCTAACCGGCTTCACTTTTCCAGCAGGTTGGAAACAACAGACTTGTAACAGACAACGTACATTTACTGCCAGAATATTTTCCTCTGCTCGCGTTCACCGTCACTTTCTGCCGCTCGGACAATCAAACACTCGCTACGCACCTCCTGATTTAGAGTTACGTTGCTGCTCTTATATCACCATCTGACACGTAGGTTCTGCAAGAACGAGAAGAGGAAGCGAGCCGAGCATTGAGTGCTGCCGTGCTCGCACAGTGTGCGAGTGTAAACATTTGTAGCGCATAGTTTAATGATCGTGGGAAATTTTAGTAGTGGCGGTCATGATTCAGCAGCGGCGCACCGCATATAGAGGAAACACTGGGCGTGTGAGGTC